TCCAACTTCACTGTCAGTCCTCCCTCATCTTAACCCCCCCTCCCAATCCCCCAGTAGTCATTTTTATTAAAATACCTCTTATGTCCATTATGATATTTGATGATGGTGATGATGGCACATTTTCTCTTCTGCATCTTCTGCTCTTGTTTCAGCACTGAAAAAAAGACAGAAGTTGGAAATGATATTATATATTATGTATAGTATGTTCTACTTCAGAAATTAAACTATAGATTGAGACCATACGTCTCGTAGGAAAATGTTTGCTGATGTAAAAAAGTGAGAGGAAAGACTGTGATTTGAACCACATCACATTACAGAACCTTTCAAACCCATATGGTCTTCACTCTGCAGCCGGTTATTAAACTATAAATACTGTAGATACATAGTCCTTTGATTACAGGATTTCATGGAAATAAAGCCATCGTCCATAAGCCACGCCCCATCATTAAGGTCGATGGTTGTTTTAAAACGCATCATATAAGCCACACCCCCAAGTGCTCTTTGTCAGTGCCTGTATTTATACACAAGGTTTGTAAAACTTGAATATAAACTGCAGCTTTAGTTCTATGAAATAGGACAGTGTATAAAGTAGTAGCCATGTGCCAATACTGACACAGACCCTCAATGTGTGATTAGTTTGTACTAATCTAATCCTGTATTATTATTCAACACTGTGAGCCAACATGTGCATGTGTTACACTTTTTTCTAACCTTGACTCTTTTTTTTTTTTTTTTGCTGATAAATATGCCTGGTACAGTGTTTGTGCTTATTAACAAACCCTCCTCAATCCTTTCCCCCCTTACCCATTAACCCACATCCCTCTTCCCTTCTGCTCCAATCATACCCATCCTCTCAACTCCTGTCCCTCTTGAAAGACCCCTTTGCTACGACGGAGGGGAGCGCTGAAATCGCTCCAGAGCTGGACCTGTTCGCCATGAGGCCCGCTGACACCAGCGCCCCCGACACCACTGCTGCCACCACCATCACCCCGCCCACCTCTAGTGAGGCACCAACCATCGTTGTCCCCACCCCTTCTTCCACCTCCTCCACCACCGCCAACACCACCACAGTGTCTGCAGCCGCCCCGACTCTAGATATCTTTGGTGGTAAAGTCCTCTGGCTCTCATTACACCTCCCACTGCATTAGCCTGCTCTATGACACTGATGATGACAATGCTGAAGGGTTTCAATGATGACGACCTGTGTTGCTCCTCCTAGTCATATTGATAATAACTTTCCCTGA